GCTAGTAAGACCAGACACAATGCACAGAATCTTTCCTACAATTTTATCTTCCTTCTTATTTCCCTTTCTCTATCTCTCTTTCTCCTCTTCCTTGTTTGTTGGCCAAGGAGGCTCGGGCATCAGGATACCTCTATCAAACAGAGGGATTATGACGGGGTGGGGGCGGCAGGGCAAACTAGCAGTTGTAAAATCTCACCTAGGCAATGCGTACTCTAGCACTTTCGATACCATTACAATATGGCCTTAAAATTATCTTCTCTTAATGTCAAAGGCCTAAATGCCCCCAACAAACACTGCTTACTGTTCAGAGAAATTAAATTACTAAACTCAGACATTACATACCTACAAGCAACGCATGTCCCTATGACTACACATGTTACATTAAAGGACCACATGTACACTACAGTAGATGAAGCAAGGTCACATCGCAAACGTAACGGGGTAGGCATACTCTTTCATAAACGATGTCCATTTCAAATGACCCAAGTTGTCCCAGACCCGGAAGGCAGATATGTCCTGGACACCGGCTGCCTGCACTCCCAGACTATCCACCTTATCAACATATACACTCCAAACACGCCCGTACCTGACTTTTGGGATGCATTGACCAAACTCATTGAATCACTACCACACGGAATCATACTCCTTGGGGGGGATTTAAACTCGGCGATGTGTCCTGCTGCCAACAGGAGCTCCCGTCTGGGCGTGCCTAGGTCCCATGGCTTAGGCAGACAGGATAGGCTACTTCGCAGGTTCATCTGTCGCACAGGTCTCATAGCTACGAGGAGGGCACAACACCCAGATGCCAGAGACTACACATACTCCCCCACAGCACACAGTGGCGTACACACAACCCATGGGGCCCCGGTGTGAAAACTGATCCGTGGCCCCCTCCCCGCGCGCTTATTCTGCGCGGGCTGGGGCCGCAACACATGGCAGCGGACACCTGGTCGCAGGGGTCGCAGGGTTGTGCCCCCTGCGACCGCGGTATGTACGCCAGTGCATGCAGATACACATACACTTAAAGGACCACTACAGACACCTAGATCACATCAGCTCAATGAAGTGGTCTGGGTGCCAGGTCCCTCTAGTTTTAACCATGCAGCTGAAAACATAGCAGTTTCAGAGAAAATCACAGTGAGAAGACGCTGAACGTCCATAGGAAAGCATTGAGTAATGCTTTCCTATGGGCGGTTTGAAGCTGAGAGGCGGATCGGGGCGGAGAGATCCCCAGCGCCAAGGGAGTCCAGCACTGGAGAAAGGTAAGTGCTTAAGACACACACACTCTCACGAACAGATGCATACATACTAGCTAACAGACACACACATTTACTGACAGACACACACTCAGTGACAGACATACATACACACTCACTGACAGACAGACACAGACACACTCACTTACAAAATACACACTCACTAACAGACGCACACAAACTAACACACTCAGTAACAGACACACACAGTAACACACTCACTGACCTACAGACACACACACACACACACACTCTAACACACTAACACTAACACACACACACTCTAACACTAACACACACACACTAACACACTAACACACACACACTCTAACAAGTGCTTAGAGTGCTGTTTCTAAGTGTGTAGTTGGAGATATTCTGGAGAGTTTTACATCAGCTTCAACTGTCTAAGAGTTGTGCTAAGAGCTTTCTTTTCTACTGTTACAGGTAAGATTCATCTGTAGGAAAAGGTTACTGATTGCACAAGGTTTGAATTCCTGTTGGTAATTATAAGGCATCTAATTAGATTACTTGCTATTGATTGCTGTTTAAATTAGCTATTGTTTGCAAATAAGCAGAGGCCTACCCAGGTGTTAAACATTCCTAGTGGGTGGTGATTTTAGGAGTTATATAAGGCTTGTTGCCATTAGCTTGGCTAATATAGCTTGGTTGCTACTTCTAAGTGCTGTTTCTAAGTGTGTAGTTGGAGATATTCTGGAGAGAAACTGGAGGTAATCTGAGGTATTCAGGAGGATAAATACAAAGTTAAGATTCGTTTGATTTAAATTATTCTCCTAATTGGAATGTCAGACTTAGTTCAGTGTAATAGTTGCTATGCATTTGTTTCACGTTCCACTTTTTGGAGGTTTGGTTGTTGTCTAATCTGTAGACAGTTCTCTATTTTGCGGCAGGAGATTGTATTTTTGAAGTCTGAGATATGTAAATTATCTGGTGAACAAACTCAGACTGGAACTGCTGCAAAGCCACTGCCGCAGAGACATACAAGGAATGGCAAATGGATTACTGTAGGATCTGGTAGACCTAGAGTTGTGGATAAAAGGCATTTTGCACAGTCTGTTACTCTTCATAATTCATTTTCTGCACTTTCAGAGTGTAATGGTGTTGTGGAGAGAGGCACTGAGGCTAGTGGTGTTGTGGAGAGAGGCACTGAGGCTAGTGGTATTGTGGAGAGAGGCACTGAGGCTAGTGGTGTTGTGGAGAGAGGCACTGAGGCTAGTGGTGTTTTGGAGAGAGACTATGGTGAGGCCTAATAGAAAGTAGTTGTTGTTGGGGGATTCCATTATAAGAGGTGTGGAGATGGACAATGGTGGTCTTGTGAGGTGTCTTCCCGGAGCTACTGCTCACAGAGACAGGAGACGTATCTGTAATATTGTTAAGCAAGCAAAGCAGGAAGGGGAATTGGATGTACTTGTCCATCTAGGGACAAATGACTTGGCTTGCAATGAGGTTTCAGAGGTTAAGGAAGTTTTTAGTGTTTTGCCAATGATATACGGCAGGTTGCTTCCACACTGTCATTCTCTGAAGTTCTGCCTGTGCATAACACTCAGAACGACAGGCGGATGCGTATTAGGGACTTTAATTTGTGGCTTGGTGAATGGTGTCGGGAGCAAGGATTTGGCTTTATTTCTCATGGTAGCTCTGTTTGAAATGGAGATAAGCTGTACAAAAAAGATGGTTTGCATCTTTCTCAAAAGGGAACAAATGTTCTCAGTGAGCAGTTCAGAGGTTTTGCTAGGGTGATAAAACATCAATCCAATTGTCCCCCAAAACAAGAACAAAAGGTGCCTGTAGCAAGTGTGTTAAAAAACGATAAGCTTAGAGTCATGTCTACAAATGCTCGCAGTTTAGGGAATAAGATCCATGAACTTGTGGCAATAATGGCAACTGATAGTGTAGATATAGTTGCTGTTACTGAGACATGGTATAATGAGAAAAATGACTGGGACATAGTAATACCAGGGTACTCTTTATATAGGAAAGATAGGGAAGGTAAGAAAGGGGGAGGGGTGACCTTGCATGTTAAGGATAGCATAAAATCTAGCCTAATAAAAGTTAGTGAGGCGAACATAGAGTCCGTTTGGGTTACGTTAGAATTTGGTAATCACACAGTAACTCGTGTAGGTGTGATTTATAGGTCCCCAGGACAAATTGAAGAGTTAGATAATCTACTAGTTGTGGAAATAGCTAAAATGACAATGAAGGGGGAAGTTATCATCATGGGTGACTTTAATCTTCCTGATGTAAATTGGAAAACAAAATTAGCTACTTGTGCCAGGAGCACACATATTCTAAACTCCCTACTGGGATTGTCTCTAAAACAAGTTGTTGAGGAGCCAACTCGTAAAGAGGCCATACTAGATTTAGTGTTAACAAATGGAGATTTGGTATCAGATATTACTGTAGGTGAAAGTTTAGGATCCAGTGATCATCAGTCAGTGTGGTTTAATATAAGAATTTAAATGGAGTCCAAGAGAAATTTGATTATTTAAAAGTTGCACTATTGAAGGCAACAGAAAATTGCATTAGGCTTGTCAGTAAAAGCAAAAAATTCAAGAAACCACTGTGGTACTCCACAGATGTGGCCAAAACAGTTAAAAACAAAAAGTTAGCATTTAGGAATTATAAAAAAACCCAGAGTGAGGAAGACAAAATGATCTATACGATTAGGCCGAAAGAGGCTAAGCAAGTTATAAGAGCTTCCAAATCACACACAGAAGAGAAAATATCACAGTCAGTAAAAAAGGGAGATACAACATTTTTTAGATACATAAATGAGAAAAGAAAAGTAAAACAAGGATTAGTTAGATTAAAAACAAAAGAAGGAAGGTATGTAGAAGATGATAAAGGTCTAGCTGACTGCCTCGATGAATATTTTTGTTCTGTATTTACAGATGAAAATGAAGGAAAGGGACCTCAGTTGAGAAAAAGAATAAATGAGTCATTTATTACACGTGAGTTTACAGAGGAAGAGGTTCTATTTCAACTGTCAAAAGTAAAGACAAATAAGTCAATGGGACCTGATGGAATACACCCAAAGCTATTAAAAGAGCTTAGTGGTGTACTAGCAAAACCATTAACAGATTTATTTAACCAATCATTGTTAGCAGGAGTAGTCCCAGAAGATTGGAAGTTAGCGAATGTTGTGCCCATTTACAAGAAAGGTAATAGGGAGGAGTCGGGCAACTATAGGCCAGTAAGCCTTACTTCAGTAGTGGGGAAAGTGATGGAAACCATGTTAAAGGATAGGATTGATGAACATCTAAAAACACATGGATTTCAAGATCAGAGACAACATGGGTTTATCAGGGAGATCATGCCAAACTAATCTTATTGATTTTTTTGATTGGGTAACTAAAATTATAGATCAGGGTGGTGCAGTAGACATTGTTTACCTAGATTTCAGTAAGGCTTTTGACACTGTTGCACATAGAAGGCTTATCAATAAACTGCAATCTTTAAGTTTGGATTCCAATATTGTTGAATGGGTAAGGCAGTGGCTGAGTGACAGGCAACAGAGAGTTGTAGTTAATGGAATATATTCGAAGCTTGGACTTGTCACCAGTGGGGTACCTCAGGGATCTGTACTTGGACCCATTCTCTTTAATATTTTTATTAGTGATATTGCAGAAGGTCTTGATGGTAAGGTATGTCTTTTTGCTGATGATACTAAGATATGTAACAGGGTTGATGTCCCAGGAGGGATAAGCCAAATGGCAAATGATTTAGGTAAACTAGAAAAATGGTCAGAATTGTGGCAACTGACATTTAATGTGGATAAGTGCAAGATAATGCATCTTGGACGTAAAAACCCAAGGGCAGAGTACAGAATATTTGATAGTGTCCTAACCTCAACATATGAGGAAAGGGATTTAGGGGTGATTATTTCTGATGACTTAAAGGTAGGCAGACAATGTAATAGAGCAGCAGGAAATGCTAGCAGAATGCTTGGTTGTATAGGGAGAGGTATTAGCAGTAGAAAGAGGGAAGTGCTCATGCCATTGTACAGAACACTGGTGAGACCTCACTTGGAGTATTGTACACAGTACTGGAGACCGTATCTTCAGAAGGATATTGATACCTTAGAGAGGGTTCAGAGAAGGGCTACTAAACTGGTTCATGGATTGCGGGATAAAACTTACCAGGAAAGGTTAAAGGATCTTAACATGTATAGCTTGGAGGAAAGACGAGACAGGGGGGATATGATAGAAACATTTAAATATATAAAGGGAATCAACACAGTAAAGGATGAGACTATATTTAAAAGAAGAAAAACTACCACAACAAGAGGACATAGTCTTAGAGGGACAAAGGTTTAAAAATAATATCAGGAAGTATTACTTTACTGAGAGGGTAGTGGATGCATGGAATAGCCTTCCAGCTGAAGTGGTAGATGTTAACACAGTAAAGGAGTTTAAGCATGCGTGGGATAGGCATAAGGCTATCCTAACTATAAGATAAGGCTAGGGACTAATGAAAGTACTTAGAAAATTGGCCAGACTAGATGGGCCGAATGGTTCTTATCTGCCGTCACATGTTTATGTTTCTATGTAACACTAACACACACACTAACACACACACTAACACACACTAACACACACACATTCTAACACTAACACACACACACTAACACACACTAACACTCTAACACTAACACACACACTCTAACACACACACACTCTAACACACACACAGACTAACACACACTAACTAACACACACACTCTAACACTAACACACACAACCTAACACACACTAACACTCTAACACTAACACACACTAACACACACTAACACACACAATCTAACACTAACACACACTAACACACACACACTCTAACACACACACACACTAACACACACACTCTAACACACACACTCTAACACACACACTCTAACACTAAAACACACACTAACACACACTAACACACATGTAACGGCACCCCCAGGCATAAAAGGGGTTAAATGTCGTTTAGAGGATATTCCCTTCCAGATATACAGGCAGCTACTGTAGACACCAAGCCACCGAACCGGAAAAGCATGTGAATGCCGTAAACAGCCGAACTGGAACCATACGAATGCTGTAAACAGCCGAACAGGAAAAACCATACGAAAGGTTTACACTCCTAGCAGTCGAACTGGAACAGCATACAATAAATCCCCCCAAGAACGAGACAAAGCTCCGTGTTGAGGGTCAAGCAGCGAACAGACAGAGCTGTGGGTTTATTGTTCTTATATACACATTCTTACACATTAGTACCACCCACAGGGTTTTGGAAAACCACCAATAAACACATACAATACACTCAGACACTCCCACACAAAATCCTCCCTTCTGCCTGTGAAACAATTACCTTACACAATGGGTTAATGTAATTATCACAGACAGAGAAATACAGTTTTTCCACATTATTTATAACTTTAAAAGTATGCATCACATTCACATAAAACTTACATTTTCAAGCTCCTCTCCCATACATACTTCCAGCCGCTGGGGAGGGAGACCGACTGTCTCTGCTCCCAATACAGTGTCCTGCTGCTGGAGAAAGGAGACTGGGCTCTCTATTCCCTTATGGACACTCTGCCGCTGGGGATGGAGGACAAGGCTCTCCTCTCCCAATAAAACACTCTGCTGCTGGGGGACAGGACCGACTGTCTCTGCCCCCTGTAACTCAGCCTGCCGCTGGGGAATGGAGACTGGGCTCCCAATTCCCTGCATATCACACTGCCGCTGGGGAATGAAGACTGGGCTCCCAATTCCCTGCATATCACACTGCCGCTGGGGAATGGAGACTGGGCTCCCAATTCCCTGCATATCACACTGCCAATGGGGAATGGAGACTGGGCTCCCTATTCCCTGCAGATCACACTGCCACTGGGGAATGGAGACTGGGCTCCCAATTCCCTGCATATCACACTGCCGCTGGGGAATGGAGACTGGGTTTTTTTGGCCGTGGACAGTGCTTAGCTTGTAGAAGCACAAAAAGCACAAAAAGACACATTACAGAATTTTGCGACTCTAAAGGGGAGAAAAAATATAAGATACGCCAAATGATTACGTGCTTTTCTAAGAGAGTTATATACGTTTTAAGGTGTTCTTGCAATCTATTCTATGTAGGTAGAACAAAACGCCCTCTACAAACACGAATAAATGAACATATCAGAAACATTAAAAAAGGTTTTGATAAACATAGTGTTTCAGAACACTTTAGCCTAACACATAATAAAGACCCTCAATTTCTAGAATTTATGGCTATCCAGAAAATCACACTCAACTGGCGAGGGGAAGATGAAATTAGAAAATTAGGAAAAATTGAAACAAAATGGATTTTCGATCTTAATACTCTAGCCCCCACAGGTCTAAATGCAGACTTCGAATTATGCCATTTCTTATAAACTAGACTATATATATATATATATATATAATACACCAATTAACATCATTTTTTCTTATTGGGCTCTATTTTTAGCACTATTCCATATAAAAGTCCCTACTGCTTCAAATAAAGAATAATTAAGTGTATACTAATTTTATATATTTAAACAAAAAACAGTTGGAATTTTAGATATGAACAAAATGTGGAATATGTTTGCACAAATATTATTTCATAAAGAATGCACACTTTGAAACAAAGGTCACCTTTTTACACTATGTCTAATGTTGCATGTTTTTTCTATGTAAAAGATACTATTGCCTAAAATAGAGATCAAATAGTAAGACAAAAGAGTTGAAATATAATTATAGTTATTGCCCTTCAAAATTTAGAACACATATGGAGAAATAGCAAAATATGATAAGACATATACAATAACACAACATTTTATTACAATGTTTTTTTTTTCTTCTATTTTGCATTGTATAACTGTATATGAGCCAAAGAGGGCTCTAATATGAACTGCAAAAAAAAACCCCATTGCGGACTATATTTCCCACAAAGAACCGGACGAAAACCGGAAGTGACGCGGCAAGCGCAAAGCACTCTGGATCTTGTAGTGCCGAAAACCGGAAGTGACGCGACGGCATTTTAGCCGCGTCACATGACACAAAAGGACCAATCTGATTGGAAGATGACATTTTAGGCGGGATTTTGGACGCTTAAATTACAGAACATGAAGAGGACACTCACAAGCTGACTGAGGAAGCCGTTTTTACCGGCGAAACGCGTTTTGGCTTTTAAAGTGGACTCATTATTTTTCCTGAACCACCAATACTTGCAATAATTTGTTCTTATCCAATTTTTTATTTTCTAGAAAAATATTTTTATACTGTTTTTATATATATTGTAATAAATTCCCTTATTTTATACTATCCACTGTATCCAGCACCAGTGATTCCAGGGAAGGGGCAGTGTCACCCCACAAACTGACACTAGGCCTATACACTTAGAGCCAGTTACCAAAAGGCTCTAAATAAGGTGAGCACTTCAATTTGTTTTTTATAAGAAAATATCATAGAGGATGCTACACTTAGTTGGATAATTCTGTGTCTTTCATATATACGCTGGGGAGAGAAAAAATACACACTCAACCTGGAGAGAGGGGTCGTGTGGTCTACCCTTAAAGACACAGATGCACCTAAGTTTAGAGCCTAATTCACTTGAAAAGGCTCTAAAAAATGTGAGTGGAGATATATATGTTACCCACTAAACACTTCACTAAAGTAATAGATATACTGCACAATTATCTGTATATATTTCTGTTTTCTTTTGTATATGTATTACATTGGAGAATATAAAGGATAATTGCCTTTGAATCACAGGTAATTCACTGTGTTTTCACATACTACACAGCGCTGCACTCATAAAGATAGAAGACCTAAGGGGTGGCAACACCCATTAGATCTGAAATCTTTTTCGTCTTTTGGTGTTTATCTTTGTATGGTGGGCTTTTAGGAGTACCCATAGAGTGTAAACAGCAGCTAAAATATACTGTTCACATTAATTACTCAGCGCCACATATTCCACACCTATTGTTAATATATTCCAATTCCCTGCATATCACACTGCCGGTGGGGAATGGAGACTGGGCTCCCTATTCCCTGCAGGACCGGTGGAGAGACCTTGGTCCCATCTTCACCGGCCACCTGGGGTTCTTCCCAGCTAAACTCTATCTTGTCCCAGCTGAATGGGTCTGGCTCTGGGTTTGTCACTCTGCTCTCCTGCTGAGCCTTCTCACTGGAGTGGAACAGCTGCTGGTAGCCCTGTTACAGCTCCATCTCCCGGGTCACCAGGTGGACCAGGTCTTGCTCAATCTCTTGAGTATCGTCCCAGTCATACCTGCTCTCCCTCGACTCAAAGAGATCACGGAACCGGGCTTGTGTAGGGCTCCCAAATGCAGGCTCTGAGAAAGTCTCCCATAACAAGCCTGGACCATCAAACTTCTCTCCCACTGGCTTGTCATGCTCGGCTGTCCAGGGCAGGTACTGTGCCCCATACCACCAGAGCGCCTGGTAGGCATCTTCCAGCCACATCTCCTGCCATACCCGGAGCTCCATTTCCTTCACCCATTCCTCCAGGGGCTGCTCTCCCAGGAAGGGCATGCGCAGGGCTAGTCGCTTCTGCAATCGCTGGTCTTCCTTGGGGAGTCTCTCGCCCCGCTGGTACTCCGCAATACCCAGTGCCTGGTACCAGATGCCTTTTCGGACTGCATCTATATCGTCCATGTCACCTTCCTCATACGACACTGCTGGTTCCATCTTGGTGCTGTCAGGGTCGCTGTACTCAGACAAGCGTTGTCCAAAATTAGTATATCCAAACAATGGTGTCTCCTTGTAGCTGTCCTTCTGGCTGAAGGAACGATCCCGCCGCTTGCCACCAATTGTAACGGCACCCCCAGGCATAAAAGGGGTTAAACGCCGTTTAGAGGATATTCCCTTCCAGATATACAGGCAGCTACTGTAGACACCAAGCCACCAAACCGGAAAAGCATGTGAATGCCGTAAACAGCCGAACCGGAACCATACGAACGCTGTAAACAGCCGAATAGGAAAAACCATACGAAAGGTTTACACTCCTAGCAGTCGAACTGGAACAGCATACAATAAATCCCCCCAAGAACGAGACAAAGCTCCGTGTTGAGGGTCAAGCAGTGAACAGACAAAGCTGTGGGTTTATTGTTCTTATATACACATTCTTACACATTAGTACCACCCACAGAGTTTTGGAAAACCACCAATAAACACGTACAATACACTCAGACACTCCCACACAAAATCCTCCCCTCTGCCTGTGAAACAATTACCTTACACAATGGGGTAATGTAATTATTACAGACAGAGAAATACAGTTTTCCCACATTATTTAAAACTTTAAAAGTATACATCACATTCACATAAAACTTACATTTTCAGAATCAGCATCTGGGGTATCACTATTCAAATAGGGCAAGTACCGAATGACCAGGCTTTCGTCTCCTTGCAGGGGAAAATCAAGCATTTCAACATGGGTCCATAGTCTAAAGGCAGAAGGGCAACCAGTGGCGAGATAGGTCTCGTCACAACACACACACTAACACACACACACTAACACACACACACTAACACACACTAACACACACACTCTAACACACACAAACTAACACACTAACACACACATACTAACACACACACTCTAACACTAACACACACTCTAACACACACACTTTTAATAAAAAAATGTAATCCCCCCAGCCTCCTTACCTTTTGGAGAGCTGAAGGAATTCCCTGGGGTCTAGTGGTGTCACCGGGTGGGCGGGCGCGTGAGGGAGCACTCTCCCCTGAGTTCTTCCTCTTCAGCTCTCTCGTGTGCCGCGTAGGGATGCTGGCGCCGGAAAATGACGTCATCTTCCGGCTCCGGTATCAGTGTGGTCCCCTGTTTCCGCACATCACATCACAAATCACATCACAAATCTGTTGGGACTTTCCGAATGTGGTAGAGTTTTACTGGGGTGGTGTACCATCTGAGCATTGTTTTGTAAGATTGCTCCTGCATGGTCACGCAGATGGAAGTCTTGCTATTTGCCTCCAAGATATCCTGCCAGTCTATACCCTCTAGGACCTTGCCCAGCTCTGCCTCCCATTGGTCTGTATCGTGTAGTCATCCCCATTCAGTTGTGTTGGAGCATATATGTGTGTGTAATAGTGTAATCAGGCCTTTGGGCTGTGTTTCAGATTCGCACAAACGTTAGAAGAATGTGAATTGTGTAAGAGCTGACTTTTTAATGTGGGGTTTGCTGGTAAAGTCTCGGGTTTGCATAAATCTAAAGAAGTCTGAGGATGTAAGAGGTGTTCTGCTTTGTAGTTCTTCAAATGTGACCATTGTGTTACTGCTGTATAGATGATGGATCCTTTGTATTCTTGCATATTCAATGCCTTTAAAATCTCTGGGTCTCATTCCAGGGAGCTGCCCACAGGTGGCATCTTTCTGGAAGAAAATAGGAGAACTTGCCTCACGGATACTACATAAGCAAATAGATCAAAACACATGGACCTTTCTATTATCTAAACCACTCGATGACTTGACATGAAGGGAACTGTCCCTTCTAAACAAAATCACTTTAGCAGCCAGGAGAGCCCTCGCCCAGGTCTGGCTCCAGCCCAGGACACCATCCATTGAAAAGGTAACTGTGAGACTTAAAGATACCTATTTAATGGATAAGCTCACTACACTAGTAAGGGGAACCACAAAAACATTCACGAACATTTGGGAACGCTGGTAAAACCGATCCTGATTAAGAAGCCATAGAGGATATGTGTGCCCAACCAACTCCAAAGCCGACCAGGCATTCCCCCTTTCCCTCTCCTGACCAATTTTCGATCCTGCTCTCCTCCTTCCTTTCTTCCAACCCTCACTTCTCTGCACTTTCTTACACTTTTCAGAAAACACTCTTAGGTCACAAGCCCAGCATAGCCCATAAGCAATGTCACACAATGACAGATATCTCATCATTTGATAAAGACTAAAAGTTGGAAGAACACCTTCGTATTTCAACTGACGACTATGTTGGCTGAACTACCACAAGGCAGTCCCGAGGAAACAGCTACCTGATACCTGTACTATTGTACTGTGTAGCAACGACACTTACCAATGTGCCACAATAATTTGAGTAGTAATCAAATAAGTGCACAAGATGTGTTATGCAATGTTATGCTTATTGTCTACTTGCATATGTACTGTTTTGCCTACTACCTAAGCAAAATAAAGAGTGTAAAAAAGAAAAAGACAGTAGAACAGGAGATAGCAATCAAACAAGGTGGGAGTGAAGCCTAGCTGGAGGAGAGAATATAGTGCTGCCCTTTAGGAGAGAGCAAGGGACAGGTATGTGACGTAGAATTTAGGTTACTCTGGGAGGCCATATGCTTTCCTAAAGAGATGAGTTTTGAGGCACTTTTTAAATGATTGAAGACTAGGGAATATTCTGAGAAGTAATGGTTACCCTTTAAAAATAGAGGATATTTAAGATGAGTTAAATGTCATGCATATCTGTAAAAGGGAACATGTTAAGAAAAAAATAACATATCGCCAAGATAAATGGTGTATTCAATGTACAATATCGAGAAATAGTCACATCACCTCAGTTCCAACTCCTGCCACTTTCAAAGCCTCATGCAACACCAACCTCCAGACTGCCATCTTTTGCTCTTCTTCGATTTGCCCTGTTTGAGAAGGCTTTCGCAAGCAGGGCAAGGCACCTGCATGACGCTGACACGCTGGCTCCATTACCTGGAGTAACATCAGTCACTCTATTCCTATGGTCCATAGCAACTCCATTCCGTAGCAACCACAGTGTATCCTTGTCGGTCAGATCGTCAGTGTGGAGCTTATGCTGAATATTTGACTGAGAAGTGGGAGAAAGAAGTGTTTTCTCCCAATCTATACATTTGCTAGTAAATCAGCTAGCACAATGTATAAACAAAATGTCATGCTCTTTCAATAGAGCATAAGTAGTTTGGGCATGACAGATCCTCTTTAAGAGAACCATAATGATCTGTCATGCTTGATGAACAATATTTTCTCATTGAGAACATCACAGAATATAAATACATTCTATATTTTTGGCAGAAAACATGTTCTGTAATTTATGAATGCACCTGTTATTATTAATTCCTCTTCCAAATGTTCGTTTAAAATGGATCTCTCATAATTAAGATTTTTCTATCTTAGCCTGTACCTACCAAAGTTGACTACAATCAATTTTTATTTTATTTTTTTGAACATTATGCTATGTTGTGCAATATTAGAGAAGTGAAGAATTTTAATTCCTTAGAACTCAACTGAAGGCCTTCTTGTGAATCTTGTATTGTATTTTCTAATTTGATCTAAAAACATCTCCTAGCTTCTAAATCCTCATTCAAAAGTGGTTAGCTTCTACCCAAATTATCTGTGAAGATAACCAGTACCACAAGATGGTACAGATAGGTGGTGGATCCATGTTATACACAATGTGAAATTAGAGAACAGCAGTGTTAGTTGCCAAGAATTCAACGCAAATTTCAAATTTTAGGCTGAAATAACCAGATTGGGGAAATGCATCAAAGTCAGGATAATTTCAGTTCATCTACTTTGGCCTCAAATTCTACCTTTATTCTGAGTTCACGATAGTTCGCACTTCAGTGAATAGTGCTGTAAGTCTCTTTAATATTTTTATTAGTGATATTGCAGGTCTTGATGGTAAGGTATGTCTTTTTGCTGATGATAATCAGGTATGTAACAGGATTGATGTTCCAGGAGGGATAAGCCAAATGGCAAATGATTTAGGTAAACTAGAAAAATGGTCAGAGTTGTGGCAGCTGACATTTAATGTGGATAAGTACAAGACAATGCATCTTGGACGTAAAAACCCAAGGGCAGAGTACATAATATTTGATACCCTATGAACCTCAACATCAGAGGAAAGGGATTTAGGGGTGATTATTTCAGATGACTTAAAGGACCACTATAGTGCCAGGAAAACATACTCGGGGTCCCCCTCCCGCCTGGATCTAGGGAAAGGAAATGGGGTAAAAACTTACCTTTTTCCAGCGCTGGGTGGGGAGCTCTCCTCCTCTGATCCTCCCATTCGGCTGAATGCGCACGCGCGGCAAGAGCTGCGCGCGAATTCAGCCTGTCGCATAGGAAAGCATTTACAATGCTTTCCTATGGTCGCTTGCGTGCTCTCACTGTGATTTTCACAGTGAGAATCACGCAAGTGCCTCTAGAGGAATTGGAGGAAGGATTAACCCATTTATAAACATAGCAGTTTCTCTGAAACTGCTATGTTTATAAAAAAAAATGGGTTAATCCTAGCTGGACCTGGCACCCAGACCACTTCATTAAGCTGAAGTGGTCTGGGTGCCTAGAGTGGTCCTTTAAAGGTAGGCAGACAATGTAATAGAGCAGCAGGAAATGCTAGCAGAATGCTTGGTTGTATAGGGAGAGGTATTATCAGTAGAAAGAGGGAAGTGCTCATGCCATTGTACAGAACACTGGTGAGACCTCACTTGGAGTATTGTACACAATACTGGAGACCGTATCTTCAGAAGGATATTGACACGTTAGAGAGAGTTCAGAGAAGGGCTACTAAACTGGTTCATAGATTGCAGGATAAAACTTACCAGGAAAGGTTAAAGGAACTTAACATGTATAGCTTGGAGGAAAGATGAGACAGGGGGGATATGATAGAAACATTTAAATACATAAAGGGAATCAACACAGTAAAGGATGAGACTATATTTAAAAGAAGAAAAACTGCCACAACAAGAGGACATTAAATTAGAGGGGCAAAATGTTTAAAAATAATATCAGGAAGTATTACTTTACTGAGAGGGTAGTGGATGCATGGAATAGCCTTCCAGCTGAAGTGGTAGATGTAAAGGATTTCCTTGTAGTTATCTGTACCCATTCGGTTATTTCCTCTCTCTGCTAGTTAAGTGACTGTAAAGAATTCGTTGTTATTTCTGTGTTGGGGACATTTATTCGTTCTACCGAACGGAGACCACCCTGGGTATCAATCAGAACTTAAAACACCAAGTAACCATGAAAACCGCAAGGTAATTGAGTGCTTCTAGGTGGCCGCCATTCGGCATATGAACACGTGGCGAGAACAAAGGATCGCGGCCATCTTAGATCTCCCGAATGCGGTCAGCGGGACTTACTCGTGGATTACCTGGAACCATTTTCGGAATGACAAACACACGAACACCCGGTCTCTATGGAAGTCCCGTCTGACCGATTTCCACTTACAGTATCAAACTAGCGTTCGGGAGTTTCAATCAACCGAATGAGGGGAGCATTCATATGGAACCAGATGCTGTATAACTATGGTAGTTTTCGTGTAATTCCACACGAACGGAGACCGGCTCTTGCTACCAATTTCATATTTTTATGACATGTAGAAAGTATATTTGTAAAAATGTGGAAAACTGTTCATGTTTCTGGCCAGCAGATAATTGAGTTTAGTATGTTGCTGAAACTCAATTATCTAGCCTGGCCCAGAGGAGCAGCTTGTACTGTATAAATTGAATGCCTGTTGCTTTCAGTAAATCAGTCTTGTTCCAGCATTAAAGGACCACTATAGTGCCAGGAAAACATACTCGTTTTCCTGGCACTATAGTGCCCTGAGGGTGCCCCCACCCTCAGGGACCCCCTCCCGCCCGGCTCTGGAAGGGGAAAAGGGGTAAAACTTACCTTTTTCCAGCGCTGGGCGGAGAGCTCTCCTCCTCCTCTCCGCCTCCGTTCCGCCCCGCCGGCTGAATGCGCACGCGCGGCAAGAGCTGCGCGCGCATTCAGCCCGTCGCATAGGAAAGCATTTACAATGCTTTCCTATGGACGCTTGCGTGCTCTCACTGTGAAAATCACAGTGAGAAGCACGCAAGCGCCTCCAGTGGCTGTCAATGAGACAGCCACTAGAGGATTAGGGGGAAGGCTTAACCCATTCATAATTATAGCAGTTTCTATGAAACTGCTATAATTATGAAAAAATGGGTTAACCCTAGAAGGACCTGGCACCCAGACCACTTCATTAAGCTGAAGTGGTCTGGGTGCCTAGAGTGGTCCTTTAAGCTTTGGCTCATGTGTGGATTATTTGGCGATACCAGCGTTATTTTACCCTGTGGATTATTGTTGTGATTCTGCTATTGGGAAAAGGGAATGCTGGACGGTGATACGGATTACTACCGTCACAGTAGAGGTTAACACAGTGAGGGAGTTTAAGCATGCGTGGGATAGGCAGTCAAAAGGCTATCCTAGACTTAAAGGACCACTCTAGGCACCCAGACCACTTCAGCTTAATGAAGTGGTCTGGGTGCCAGGTCCTTCTAGGCTTAACCCATTTTTTCATAATTATAGCAGTTTCAGAGAAACTGCTATAATTATGAATGGGTTAAGCTTTCCCCCTAATCCTCTAGTGGCTGTCTCATTGACAGCCACTAGAGGCGCTTGCGTGCTTCTCACTGTGATTTTCACAGTGAGAGCACGCAAGCGTCCATAGGAAAGCATTGTAAATGCTTTCCTATGCGACGGGCTGAATGCGCGCGCAGCTCTTGCCGCGCGTGCGCATTCAGCCGGCGGGCGGATCGGAGGCGGAGAGGAGGAGGAGAGCTCCCCGCCCAGCGCTGGAAAAAGGTAAGTTATTACCCCTTTCCCCCTTCCAGAGCCGGGCGGGAGGGGGTCCCTGAGGGTGGGGGCACCCTCAGGGCACTATAGTGCCAGGAAAACGAGTATGTTTTCCTGGCACTATAGTGGTCCTTTAAGATAAGACCAGGCACTAATGAAAGTATTTAGAAAATTGGGCAGACTAGATGGGCCGAATGGTTCATATCTGCCGTCATATTCTATGTTTCTATGTTTAATAAATAATAGGTCAAGATCAGGATAGCTATAGACAGGGCCGGCGCTACCTGTACAGAGCGCCGCCCCCCCCATGCTGCAGCCGCCCGAGCGCTCTGTAGAGAGCCTCAGGCGGCTGCAGCTTTGCCCGGGCGGTGCGTCCATGAGGGCTGACCACACCGCCCGGGCGCAACCTGAGGAGAGGCTGACAGGAGGGAAGCGCTCAGCGCTCCCTCCTGTCAGCTCCCTCACTGTAGCCTGGCCGAGCCCTGCAGCATTGATGGTCCGCGGGTACAGGGAGCAGCTGTCTCCTGTACCCGGCCGGACTAACAGGAAGTGAACACTGAGTGTGCACTTCCTGTTAGTCCGGCCGGGTACAGGAGACAGCTGCTCCCTGTACCCGCGGACCATCAATGCTGCAGGGCTCGGCCACGCTACAGCAAAGTAGGGGGGGAGGAGAAATTGGGAGGGGAGGGGGGGGGGGAGAAGAAATTAAATTATCAGAGGGGTAAGACGAAATAGAGGGGAGGGGGGGAGAAGAAATATTGAGGGAGGGGTAAGAAGAAATTGTGAGGGAGGGGGGGAGAAGAAATTGGGAGGGGAGGGGTAAGAAGAAATTGGGAGGGGGGGAGAAGAAATTGGGAGGGGAGGGGGGAGAAGAAATTGGCAGGGGAAGGGGGAGAAGAAGAAATTGGTAGGGGGAGACCTCCTTCAAGTCACTGTCAAGCTGCCCACACCTAGAATGGAAATACATACAGTGATTGATTTACACATGATGTTGCATCTGAACATTCCATGAACATGCCATGTCTACACTATATATATATATATACTGCTCTATGACAACGTGCTGAGTATGAGTTGTAAACTAGCCTATCACCAAAGAGAATAAAACTCTGGCAAGTTTAGTTGCTACTGGCCTCTGTTCTTTTACTGCACAGCTAGCCTTTCTGGCCAATCACATTATATTATTACTAAAGCTGTTATACTATAATGCTTTCATGGAAGATCACATGAACCATGAAACTTTACATAAAACATTGCACATTTATGTTAGCTTTAATCGTGTCCTAAGTGGCAAAAGAAAAAACAGCCTACACTAATGATATATTTTCACATAGAGAGCCAGATGTACATTCACAGCATTAAGTATGAAACAACAGCCACTTATAGTTTTATATGAAATCAGTAACGTATGGATAAAATACAGAGAAGTAGCAGAGAGAAAAAGAGAGTAGCGAGAGAGAAAAATAGGAAGAGGGAAAAGAAAAAGAGGTAGTAGGGAGGGCAGAAAAATAGGAAGAGGAGAAAAAAGAAATTAGTAGGGAGGGAGAAAATTAGTAGGAGGGGAGAAGAAGAAATTGGTAGGGGAGGGGGGAGAAGAAGAAATTGACAGGGGGAGAAGAAGAAATTGGTGGGGAGAGAAGAAATTGACGGGGTTTAGAGTGACAGGGGAGGGAGGGGCAATGAGAGTGGGAAGGGGGAGGGGAGAAGAGAGTGACAAGGGAGAGGGGGGAGAAGAGAGTGACAAGGGAGGGGGGAGAGATTGACATCCATCACACACACATGCAATGCACCCCTTGCACACAGAAAAACACACAATGCATTACACACACACACAAACAATGTAACCCTTACACACAATGCATCCCTTACACACACAGAAACTAGTATATTATTCGTGGCACTAATCTCTAATTTACCTCACATTAAAGAAACACTATAGTCCCCAGAACCACTGCAGCTTAATGTAGTGGTTCTGGTGTCTAACATCTCAGGCCTTTTAATGTAAACACGGCGGCACTGCAGCACTGGCGTTAGTTAACATGGCAGATCATATGGGTGGGGCATTGTGATGTCACATGGGGGCGGCAAACTTTACTTTTGCCTAGGGCGGAAAAAAATCCTTGCACCGGCCCTGGCTATAGATAGTCTAAGGGGCCGGGACAAGCAGCAAGGAATCGTTATGGAGTAGAGCAGAAACATTCAGAATTGCCAAAGTAAACACTTTACAAGAACAATGACAGAATTACTAGAAGTTTATTTAATTTTTTGCAAATGTATATTTCTTCTATGGCAATTTTATAGTTTTTTTTTTTTTAATTAACATAACATCAGTGTCATAGTATTGGACTTCACAGGGTCAATCTTTACGTAGAACCCTGTGAGTTCCGAAACGTTAATGCTGTACATGGTGTTTCGATGAGTGAATGCATTTATTCTCATATAATTTCTATGAGTGTCCTTTCTCTTACTATATTGGAATATATGTTGCCTACTTGTAGTGTACTATATAAAATATATACACTGTTGCAAGGGGGCCACACACTCATGCTAAGGATATATTTATGCCCAGGTGCAATCTTTATTCAGTATTTTGATGCAGCTCGATAAATGTTCATATGTCAGGTGAAATGTTGTGACTCTTTGTCTCCAATAAATCTACCTTGGCCTACTTTGTTAACTTTGTGCACAGTCCTTTCTACTCTTGTGCCTGTCATAGGTAAGTATACCTTGGGGTTAATGCACTCTTATACTTCTCTGTCTCACCAGGCTCAAATCCAACTATTCCATTCCAAACTCTGGATCCATGTAGGCAGATCTGGTCATGCTCAGACAATAAATTTCTCCCCATATATGCGCACGTCATGGACAATATAGAAAGTAATGGCAAGTTGAGCACATAGAGGCTAGCAGAGGATAAACCAACTACTTAGATGCGTTCTTTTTGGAATCCTCGGTCCTCTCCGCTAACTTTGATAATGAATTCCTTTGGGGACAGAGAACAAGGGCTGTGAATGGGCAAATAGGGGCAAAGCTGGGTGGGAGATCGGACACAGGGCAAATAACTGTCATAACCATAGCAACTGGGCGGAATTTCAAAGCATGTGAATAACAACAATGGAAGACAAATTGTGATCATGACTTGAAATGCAGTTATTTCTGAAAGCTAAAAATAAGAAACAAGAAGGGCATCTCCTTTACTGAATACCATAGAATACATTGCGTTTAGCCTAGTAACTCAGGCTATTTAGTCCCTTGTCTACGAGTTACCAAATTATTATTATTATTATGTTTTTTAAATTGCTCCAATATGTGTACATTTACATACATATATCCATATATAAAAGATAAAACTGATATTTTGTATATTTTTGTCGTACATCGCAAGCGTGACAAAAATAAATAAATAAAAATGGCATATAATCCGCTTACGGGTATAGACACTATTAGAATTACTGGATTGCATGATGGACACATGAATCTAGACCAACCATCTGTACATTGCAAGTCAATTCCTTGTATCCATTTTTATATGTAAGA